TACCTTAATCAATATTTCTTTATTCTTTATTTTCAGTTATACTCAAAAGCACATCGCATATTTTCAAGCTTTAATCAATAGTTTCTTAGGATAGTTATTAATTATCATTGAAGATATTGTTTTTGCATTCAATTTTGATGTTATAATCAATAGCGTATATTTTATCTTACAACATGAGTAAACTACGCTTAAAGGAATTTTAGGCTGTTAATTCTTGACCACGAATATTAATAGCAGTCACGAATGAGAAGGTTATCAAGGATAATATTATTAATATCTTCATATCTTTTTTTTAATTTTATTGATTTATTTTATATTTTTTAATTTATATATTTTATTTAAGTTTACTATCTTTTCGACTAAGTATTTAAAAATCTATATTATTATATTTTGGTTTGTTAATATTAAACTTAATATTCTCGAAATGAATGATATCTTTAAAATCTAAATATATTAGATTAAGTATTTAAAAAAAACTATATTTTTCTATTTTTGTATGTTACTATAAATTTATTTTTCTAGAAATTATCGATATTGTAAATTAATCATCCATAGTAAGTAATAAAAATTTAAATAAGCTAATAACTAAAAATAGTTATATTAGGTACTATTTTAATAAATAAGATTTACTTTCGAATATATTTTGATTTACTAAGTTAATAACAAAGTTCTAGTTTTAAATTAAATTAAATTTTCTTTTTTATTTATTTGGATTCATTTAGTAGTAATAGACATTTTAAATTAAACTTAATTAAAAAAGTGCCATCAAAATAATTACAAAATTTGAGAAAAAAATATAAAAATTGCTCCATATTTTCATATAATACAATTTAAAATACCGTCTGTATTGAATAATAAAATCTTTTTTTTGTCCTTAATTGCAGTATTATTAATTATTTATTAATTTTTGTAGATTAATTTTTTATTTATTATAATTTATTTCATTCAATTAAAAAATGAAATAATTTTTAAATAAATCATTGATTTAAAAAAGTTATTAAAAAAATAAAAATAAAATTTTTATTTTTTGTTTAATATATGGTTCCTTGCTTTGATCCACCTCATATAAAGGATATTGGTAATTCAGCTTCAGAAATGTAATTCACAATTTTTTCAATTTTACACGTTTTATGCCTATCTATTATATTGTAATTCCTCAAAAAAATGGGGGTTGAGTCAGGTCTCTGACTATCTAATATATCTCGTGCTTTAAAATGTTGGAGAAGTTAATATGTTACAAATTTTCTGCAGAAAATGATTAAAATTATAATTTATAAGGTCTAAAGAATAGTTTATTTGATATATTATTTTGTTTAATATATGGTCTAAAATTGAAAAAGAAAAACCTTAAATAAAAATTTATGTAAAATATTAATTAATTAAATAAATTAAAATTATTTGATTTTATTTCAATAAATTATTAATTTTCCATTTTTTTTTTAAAATAATTTATTTAGTTTTATACAATTTAAAAATTTATTCAAAAAACATTTAAAATATTAAATAGATTGGTATATATAAAATTTAAATTTATACATCTTAAAACTAGTGTTAATAATATTTTTTTTTTAATTTATTGAATAATTAGAATATTTGCAATAAAAGCAAATAATTAGATTTAATTTTCTAGAAAAAAATATAATTTCTTTCATTCATTAATTACATACATTACAATAATTATTAATATAGATATAAAAAGAAATATGATATTTTTTTATATTAAGAAGAAAAAATAAATTAATTATTTAGTAAGGAGATTAAAATCTAAAAATACTACACTAATTTATATAGCATATCTTTATTAGAGATTTTATATTAATAACCAATATATAAATAAAACGCAATATATAATTGATATTAAAAGCAGATCTTACTAGATCAATATTTTATTCAAGTAAAATCAACACATATTTATTTTGCTTTAAGAATGATTTGAAATGAATAAATATAATAATTTCAATCAATTTTGAAAATATACATACAAAAAAATATACGATAATAGGTCTTCAGTGATAATAATGAAATATATTATGTAATTTATTCATTTTGTAAAAACGTAATGTTTTTTTATAAATACCTATCATCCTGAGTTTTATTATCCTCATTAATATATTCATTCATCAAATTTATTGCTGAAATTCTCTTTTGATTTTTTAGAGTGGTATTCTGCTGCTTTATTATGAATATCATGTATTAAATACAGAAATATAATCTGATCATTTAACTCATTTTAATTAATAAATATTTATTAAAAATAGTATTACGATCAGTAGAACTATGTCTAATTTTATTAACATAAATAATCTTGAAGTTCTATTTTTTTGGTTAACTGATCTAATTAATTAATTCTTAAAAAAATAAAAATGATCAAATTAATTAATTATATATATTGAACATAAGAGCAAAATCTCAGTTGATATAAGATATTAACATATTTTTAAAGCAAAATTTATTTAATTAATTAATAGATAAAACTTTCTAATTAAAAAACAAATTTATAAATTTAAATATTGATTCATCAAAACAAATTAATTTATTCATTAAAGAATTAAA